TGTGAGCCACCATGTGGTTGCTGGGTATTGAACTCAGGACCTCTGGAAGAACAGTCACTGCTCTTAACCACTGAGCCATCACTCCAGCCCCTGTACCACATTTTCTTTAACCATTCTTCAGTTTAAGGGCATCTAGGTTGTTTCTAGGTCTGGCTATTATGAATAAGGCTGCTATGAACATAGTAGAGCAAGTATCCTTGTGGTATGATTGAGCATCCTTTGGGTATATGCCCAAGAATGGTATTGCTGGATCATGAGGTTGCTTGATTCCCAGTTTTCTGAGGAACTGTCGTACTGATTTCCAAAGTGGTTGTACAAGTTTGCACTCCTACCAGCAATGGAGGAGTACTCCCCTTACTCCACATCCTCTTCAGCGTAGGCTGTCATCAATGTTTTTGATCTTAGCCATTCTGACAGGTGTAAGATGGCATCTCAGAGTTGTTTTGATTTGCATTTCCCTGATGGCTAAGGGTGTTGAGCAGTTCTTTAAGTGTCTTTCTTTTTCCATTTTCTGATCAGTTTGCCTTTTCACTGCATTGAGCTCTTTAGGTAGTATGGCTACTAACCCTGATCTAGTGGTTTACAGATGTTTTCTCCCATTTTTGTAGCTGCCTTATCTGTGTATAGACTCCTTTGCTATATAGAAACTTTGCAGTCTGAGGTCTGTCTATTTTTGCTTTTATTGAATCATTGTTAAGAACAGTGTCATAGTGTTCCCCATGTTTTCTTTTTGGAAATCTGTACATCTCTGGTCTGCTTGGTCGTAGTTCTACATGTGACAGCAATCTTGTTTCCCCAGTCTGTTTGTTGAAGAGAGTGTCCTTACACCTTGTATCATTTTATTCATTCATCTGTTTGTTTCTTAAGACAAAGTCTCAGCTATACAGCCCTGGCTGTCCTGGAACTGACTATGTAGACCAGGCTGGCCTCGAACTCACAGAGATCCATCTGCCTCTGCCTCCCGAGTGCCCCATCAGGCCTGTCCTAGTTTCTTTGTTCTTTAATGCACATGCCATTTTCATAACTACTCCACAGAGTCTGCAAAAGGGTTGCTTTGTGAGGCAGAGAATTAAAGTCTATTTAGTAAATGCAATCTAGTGATATGAATCCCACCTTAATTTTTTTTCCTGATTGACCTCAGATTTGAGAGAACTTTGTCAAAAAGTTCCCATCCTTGTGGTTTGGAAATTTCTATTTCTAGTACTTCTTGCTTTGTATGACTCTAACTCTGACCCCCATGTACGCATAGACTCTACTATATCTTTGGAGTTACTTTTCCCTGTTCACTGCTTGCCTGTTACCCATAGGTCTGCACTTCATTCAGGGAACTGAAGTCAGACAGCCTAGACTTTTTCTTC